GAGGATATGGGCCCATGTTGCGATTTGGCTGAGATATAGAAGTTTTACTGAAATTTCCTTGCAAGACTCGGATTTTTTCAGTGAAATCATATTTTCGAATTTTGACCTGAAACTTTGTCCACATCAAGCCCACAACTAGGCTAGCTTATATAAAAATTTTCAGAATTTTTGGACGTAGCATCATCGAGATTTGGGTTTTTCAAAATACCTATGTCTTATGCAATATCTATAGAAAAGCGCCTATCTTTTGAGAAATCCAAATCTCGATGATGCCACGTCCAAAAATTCTGAAAATTTTTATATAAGCTAGCCTAGTTGTGGGCTTGATGTGGACAAAGTTTCAGGTCAAAATTCGAAAATATGATTTCACTGAAAAATCCGAGTCTTGCAAGGAAATTTCAGTAAAACTTCTATATCTCAGCCAAATCGCAACATGGGCCCATATCCTCTTAGACTTCTTCTAGTCTACTGGTTCCCTACTTACAGGCAAAATATGCAGCAAAAAGCTTTGAATCATTTCGAACGGTTCCCTCGTAAGTAAGAAATAATGACTTTTAATCTTTTAAACATTTTTTAAGAAAGAAAAATTGAAAATATTCGAAAGGTCTGAAATTTCGAAAAACCCTTCAGTTTCAAAAAACTTCGAGTTTTTCTCTTTTCCTTTCTTCTAAAATTTTGAAAGTACTTTTTTCAGTTTCAGCACTATGACTACGTATCGTTTTTCTATTTATTTTGCTTTGTTACTGTGAAAATTCATTTTTCTAAATCAGGGATGGAAAAAATTGAAATTCTGTCCATACTTTTCAATTTTCTCCATCAGAGGTCATCTTCTATGCAATAAAAATATCACCAACAAAGCAAAATAAAAAAAAGCGATATATACTTTTACAGCTTGTTTAATGTTGGTTCTAATGAAGTAAATAAGCCGGTTCCGTCTCTTCACAAAACAACCTAGATAGATTAGCAAAACTGTTTATGAACTTTTTTACACGGCAAGTCCAATACGTCCATATTGAATAGGTCTTTGACTTCGACCTCGATCGAGAATCATTTTCATACTCTATTTTAAGTGTTAAATCTGAAAAAAATTAAAAAACTAAAAATCACATTTTCTTCCTTAGCTGGATGTACTCTATCCTACCATGTATAAATAAATGGGAAAAAATATCTTACTCTGATACTCTGAAAGTCTGAATTTCCGGCACCTTACTTCTCTTCAATGGTATTTTTGACGGAGACAAATTAACATGATAAGAAGATAATTTAACATATTTTCTTTACTGTAATTTAGATTTATAATAGAATGTACGTGTTTACACGAAACGTATGATTCAACGTATTAATAGAACGTAATAGTTTGTCTATTGCCATTTTGACAATTCACAAAAGCACAAAAAAAGTAAAAGTAAAAACAATGAACTAAAGTCTTTTGTCTATATGTGTTTCGCATCATCTAAATTGTCCACTAATAGAGCCATATTATTGTGGGAATGTTTCTAACAAAAAAAAAACAAAAAACGAAACAAAATGATCACTAGATTGAGAGATAGAAAGAGAAGAAAAATATAACTGACAACAAACAAACAAACACGTATCTCGAAACAAAAAAGAAAGAGATAAACAGCAACGCCACATGTGCTTTAATATTAACAGGAAAACAATAGAAGAGAAAAACAAATCAAGAAGACAAGAATCTGAGTTTTTTTGTTGTTTTTTTGAACAAAATTTATGCATTTATGTTGCACAAAAAAATACGAAAAAATGTTTTATTTTTAGTTTCTCTCAGCTTTAGTGCAACGTTGTTGATGTTTTTGTTCTTATTATTTAAAAATATACGTACATAATAAAGTTCGCATGGACACAAATCTTCACACGCAAAATAATTATGTCGAATGTTAATTTTTATTTATGTTGTTCGACCATTATAAGCAGCAAATGCTGCTCCCTGTTGAGAATAGTTTGTTCCAGTTTGGCCAGCAGTTTGTGAATATCCTTGTGTCGATGGTGTTACACCGGTTTGAGTCATATAATTTGTTGACGGATTCTGAAAAAAACAGAAGCAAAGACTAATATCATAGCATTGGCAACTTTTATTTATTATGTTTTAGAAAACTGTTTGATTTCAAAGAGAAACCATAATAGTTTTTTAATTTTATCGTGTATTCAGAAATATATTTATAAAGTTCAATAACCCATATATCAGTGATTTAGAATGGCACTAAAATATTTATTTTTAAAATAAAGATCCAAGATAACGTTACGAGAGTCATGCATAATTAGAAGAACAAGTGACAATTACTCTTTAGACTTCTTTAGAATCATAATCTTACCATAAAAACAATAGTAAGTCCTTCTTTCAAAACGAGCAGCTATTAAATATTTTATACGATAACCGCTCCAAAAAAAGTTATTAACACAAAAATATATTTGTGTTCTAAATGTTCAGTTAGACTATTGTTCTCATATTCTTTTAGCCGGTGTATAGATTACTAAGTATTCCAGTTTCCCGATCAATTTAAACTTACATATATATATATATATATATATATATATACATAAAAATCGAAAGGTTTTGTCTTTTAGAGTTAGTAAACAAAATCTCGCTGGCTTCTGCTTAAATTCTATGTTCGACAAAACTTCTTGTAGAGAAATAGTTTCATCTATATGCACAATAATAATAGCGATCTTTACTACCTGCTGTTCTTTTTTCCAAAGCCGGTCGGCTTATAAGGCAGTTTTATTGATCTAATACATCAAATCATTGATATTTTCTTGAAGAAAAGAAAAATGACAACAGTGCCGCCGTAGATAAAGGTGCCAATGTGCGTGTGTGTCCCATTATGTGTTTCTGCTAGAAGATGATGATCGTTTTTATACGACAAGAATATCTTAGAAGTTAGAGACGATGAGTAAAATCGGGATACATCAGAGGGTGTTCAGACAGCAGACATCAGCTCACTCCACCTTTAGAGAGACCATCTCAATAGCAGTAACCTGAGGTAGATCAAACTCGGGGATCTAAACACCAAGACGATTTTTAACGCAGATAGTCTAAGATCATTAGAAGGATTGAGATAATATTTCGTATTTTTGAAATATGTATGAATAAAAAAACTTACAGCTTGAATGTAATACAAAACCAAATAAACCGTCTGTATATAAATAAACAATCAATCTCAAAGTATAATTCGATGACGTACACACGAACTTGAATCGGGGGGCAATGAGCTGATTCACCCGTTCTAGAAGTAAGAATCAGGTTGACACATGTGAAAATTTAGCTGTTCTTGTCTGATTGAAAGAAAAATGGTAACATTATGAATCCATTTAAGGAGTGAGAAAAGCAGGCTCTCAAAATGGACACCCACGTCTTGGTTCCTCTAATCAGATCACCACCGTACATAGTAAATAGAATGAATATAATACAATTAACAGACACGAAACTAAGGCAGTGTTTTATAGCTACAGCCAAAAACCAGTAATAATTATCAGTGACTTCTAGAAATATTACGACGGTCACACTTCGCTTCCACAGTATACAACTTTTAATTAGATAAAAAAGTGTTTCATTAACGTTATTTCCTTGACGAAAGTCAGCGTCTTACGAAATAAATAGTTTGTTTGTCTGCGTGTCTGTCTATCCACATAGCAACATATATGAAAAAATATGATGAAATTTTCGAAAAAATAATAAGCAAAGGTTTTAGGCACTGTATTGGTTTACAGGTTTACAATCATTTTTCTTCTCAGTCTCTACATGATTCAAATGAAAATAAAAATAAAATAAAAAAGAACAAACAAACAAACGAACACAAATGAAAAAATCTTTTCCTAGCAATAATAGCACATAAAACGGCAAGGGACCAAGTAAAATCATAAATGAATACTAGCTGGTTATACATTCAATATACTCAACTAATTTCAATGCACGCTTTCAACTGAAGTATGGTAACTTCTTCATTTCACACTGGATGGTACAAAAACAACTGCAGTTGCGCGAAATTATAACGTCAAAAGTTTTGTTGTTGTTATATATGTCGCTCATAATCGAACATAACTACTTACTTGTTATAAAACATTCAAAAAATGCACCAAAAATTGCTACAATACTTTATCGTGAAACTGCACCAGTGGTGGATCCAGCCATCGTGCGATACGTGCGGGCACATGTATCTTTTAAGCAAAACACCTGTTTTTCTGTCTTAAATAATTTACTTCAACACCGACTGCACCTATTTTACATTGTTATAGTATCGGCACGTACCAAAGAAAATTCTAGATTCACCACTGCTAGTTACTAAAATCTGTTATGAAAAATCTTGAATTAAGAATGAGAGATTAAAACTCCAATAAATAAATTCCTAGAAACGTCAGATATAATAAATATTATCCTGTAGAAACATTTTCCAATATTTAGTGCATCATCTGAATTAGTAGTTATGAAAATATATCTCATAATTAAATGATTCCAACTTACCAGCATTCCGTATGTTTGTAATGACGGGTCAACTTTTCCTGTTGTCTGCTGTTGCTGAGCAGCCGCTGCTAGATTTTGCTGCTGCATCTGAGATGCGTACCATTGTTGATATTGTTGTATTTGGTCCGGTGTATATCCTGCTTGTAACCACTGCTGCATCCATGTTGACGCATCGTACGCATTAGTTGCGGCTGGCGTACTAGCGGCTGGTTGTTTTGAATCTGATGGTGGTAGTGGTGGTGGAACTGCACTGGGCGTTTGTTGTTGTTGTTGTTGTTGTTGTTGTTGCCAGGCGTTCGCTATTTGTTGTGCATATGGTTGATATGACTGATTTTGGTATGGATTGGCTGCTGTATTTGCCAAAGCAGCATGTTGGGCGGCTGCAAGTTGTAGCTGTTGAAGATTTTGTTGTTTTACTTGTAATTGCTGTTGAAAATTGATTAAATACTGTTGCTGTTGAGACGAAATCGGCTGACCCTGAATTCACGAAGGAAAAAAGACAAATTTCCATAGTAGACTTCAGGTAAACATCTTTTTCTTTCTTTTATCACCTGTTGTTGTGCCACCATAGCCTGGTTTAATGCTGTTGTATACTGTTGATATTGTTGTGCATATTCTTGAGATGCTCTTGCATAAACAACACCTAGAATCAAAATGTGTTAGCAAGTTAGCAGAAAATCAGCAAAAACACATATAGAGGGGTAGAGTAGCTTACCTGGATTTTCTTGTGTTGTCTGCTGTGTTTGTTGTTGTTGTTGTTGCTGTTGTTGTGACCATTGATTATTTGGCTGTGGTTGCTGTTGTGAATTTGAATCTTTTGACCATTGAGAATTTTGTGCCATCTGATAATTTGTAATTTGATTATTCTGATTGTGTGACGGCTGTTGTTGATTCTGCTGACCACCATCCCAACGACGTTTACGAGGTTGATCTTGTTGATTATTCCAGTCAAAATTCGATGTTTGTCGGTCCTGTCTACCAACACCACGCTTTTGTCCACCGCCTCTTCCTCGACCTCTATCGTCACTCCCTCGATTATTCCGGTTAAAACCGCCGCGACCACCTCGATCATTATTAAAACCACCACCTCCCGTATTGCTGTTGTTGTTATTGTTCAATCCATCGTTATAATTCGATGATGCTATCCGATCTAATTCATTGGTTAAGTCTGGCGTGTTATTATTATTAATTGTTGAAGTTGATGCTAATACTTGGTCATCAGAAAGGGGTTTAATGACACTTGGGTCAAAATTACTAAAATCAATTGACATTAATGCCGGTGGCAAAACAGCAGGAGCTTGTAGTGTGCTTATTTGATTAGGTTCATCTGAAGGAGTCGGGTTCATATTCTGATTATTTCTTGGATAACGAGTCACGCTTCCCTGACCACTATCGTCCGGAAAGAGTTCCATCAAAGACGGTGGCGGGCCACCACGTTGTCGATTATTAAAATTATTATTGCCATATTGATCTTGATTATAATCGCTGGAATTATTCATTCTTGAATGTGGCTGATACTGTGGGACTAAAATAATCCACAGAAAAATTAAAATCCCAATGACACCACGACAATGTTAACTTTATTTACCTTTGACATTTTGAACCCATTGATTATAACCATTTTGTCTTCCAATTTGTAAAAGAATTGGATGAACTGTTTGTTTTGCTTCATCTAATATTTTGATTAATGCACAAGCATGCTTTCCATCTTCTCGCTGAAAAAATGTGAATGCTGTGCCAAACTTAGAACTTCTTCCTGTTCGTCCAATACGATGAATATAAACATCATCTGTATTTGGATAATCGAAATTAATAACAAATCGAACATCGTCAACATCTAAAGAAAAGTATTTTATATTCGATGACATTTCATATATCTCACCTTGAATAATATATTACCTAAACCACGTGATGCTACATCAGTGGCTAATAACAGCGCATTTGGTGTTTCACGAAATTCTAAAAAATTTTTGTATATTGATTTAGCTCAAATCATCTAGCAGATCCATGGAATAATTTGAAGTGATTAATGATCGATCGTTAGCCGCTTCAAATTATTCCACGGGGGTTATTCCGATGAAGAAGTATACCTTTAAATACTTCGTTTCTAATTTGTTGTGATTTTGAACCATGTAATAATAACGCTTTATATCCTTGCTGTTCCAATTCTTTATTTAATCTATTTACTTTTTCTCTTGTTCTAACAAATATAATACATTTATGTTCTTCTTCTTGGCCAATATCTCTTAACGTATTAAATAATTGTTGTCGTTTTTGTTGTTCATTACATATTTGAACAATTTGTTGAATATTTAAATTTACACTGTATTCTGTCAAACAACCAATCGTGACATGCACATAATCTTTCAAATAATCTTCAGCTAAAACTTTTATTGTTTTAGGCCATGTAGCAGAAAACATACACATTTGTCGAGTTTGTTCATCGCTATTTGTTGATTTAAAATCATTTAATATTTGTCGAACCTGTGATTCAAAACCCAAATCAAACATTTTATCGGCTTCATCTAATACAATATAGGTAACACGATATAATGTTGTTATACGATGCTCTAGAAAATCTAATAAACGTCCTGGTGTACAAATATAAACTTCACGACCTTCGCCAATTTCTGATATTTGCTTCTCTCTTTCATCTCCGCCAATAATACAAGATGATTTAATATTGAATAAATCAAAATATGGTTTGGACACTTGAGAAATTTGTTGAACTAATTCACGTGTGGGTGCAAGTACAACGGCTAACGGACCATCATCCGGTTGCAACGGAGGTTGTTTGCGAACGTGCAACAACATTGGAATAATAAACTATACAATAAAAAGAAAGAGAACTTTATTTGAGATTGATATATTAATCTCTTCGCGTCCAAGAACAGACTATAGTAAGAAGGAGTGAGGAATCTAGTAATGAATTTGAGTTGAGTATCTTTAGCAACAGGGGTTTCCACCTCCTTGCGGAAACTTGAGGTAAAATAGCTCTCTTTGTCATTTTATATCCCCCGAAAACATTCATATTTTAGCATAACAAACGAACTCATCTGACGCATTAAATCGGTTGAGATTACCAGTCGGAAATTCCGACTCGAAATTTCTCAAAATTTAAAAATGTAACCTTAAAATTGCTGTTTGATTACAGTTTGCCTCACAGGTACTGCAGGATGGAAGCCCTTGTTTCACAGAAATAAACCAATCACTTGACGTTTTCAAAACTATTATTCAACAGATGGGCATTTCCTACCCTATCAAAAAAAAGGTATTACACAACACATCTAGATCAAAACAATTATCGCCACTAGAATTTGAAAAAATGTATACACACCCACAACAAACTAAACTAATTTAAGCAAATGTCAATGAAGAACTAAATTTTGTCTTACCCCTAACGTTTTCCCAGATCCTGTGCTTGCTATTCCCACAATATCACGTCCTTGTTGTAAAACAGGCCAAGCTAAAGATTGAATGGGTGTTGGGATATCATATTCATTTTCTTCAAATATTTTTAATATTTCTTCTAGAATGACAGAAAAATACGATCAGATTAGTTTTGAATTTCGTTTGAACATTGTACAGAAACCAACCGGGAAAATTTGTGTCAGAGAATTCCAACCACGGTTTGATATCACCACCATTTTCAACTCTTATGTTAAAGTCACGGTAATATTGTGCCGTTTCGTCCTTTAAAGGAAATGAATAAAAACAGAAGAATGCAATAGACAAATATAACAAGAAATGAAAGATCAGCTTACCAACGGTTCGTTTGTTTTCTTATCATTATCGTTATCGTTTTGTTGTTGTTGATTTGCTGATGTTTGATTGTCTAACATTAATGATTTTACATCATTTGTTGTATTATCCACCGTGTTATTATCATCTGTAGGTTGCGGAAAATTTTCTCGTTCAATCACCGCATCATCATAGTTTTCATTTTTATTTGAATTTATTAAATTATTGTTGATAGCTGGTTTCACATCTAAATTCATCTAGAAATGAATTTATTGGAATGATTATGCAACAAGCCAAAAACATAGTTTTGTTAATCTGACTTTGACATATACAGTAACTTTTAGAAATAAAAGAAGTAAACAAAGCTGCATACTACTTAGCAATAACTTGTTCATTCTTTTTTATTTTTTTACTCTTCGTTTTCACGGACATTTATATCTAACTGAGCTTATAGAAGTTTTCATTTTCTCTTACCTAAAATGCAAAAGAAACAAGTGCTTATAACTTTGTTGAATATAGAATATCAGTTTGCATTTATTTTCATTATTGTTAATACTGAACCGAGGTTCATTTCTTCAAAGGAATCTCTATATCTCAAGCAAAAACAACGTAATTTTTTGAATTATTTATCTGGACATACCTCATCTAGATACACGTACAGTTTAGTCTAGATAAATAGCTCAACAAATTGGGTCGTTTGGGACGTTGTTTTTTCCCTAAATTGCATATTTAGATTTATTAGGTCACCGTACACTTTGCGTTTGCAAAATTTGCATCAGCGACCTTTCACTACCCCTTTCCAGGAGAACAACATCTTTTGAAGCTGGTTGAAAAAAATACAATTCATATCATAAGTCCGTCCATTTTGATGATTAATTAGTTCTAAATTTGGGTAATAATAAAATACATGCATAATAATCATTGCTTCTTCCTACCATTCTCTGCTAACGCATGCCATCATTATAGACAGTGACAAGTTATCGAGCATAGAATATTATCATTGGTTGACCGAAAATCGTGGAGATGTCGCGGTCATACAAGCTCTGTTCGACGCTCTTTTACGCATTCATTCCGCATTCATTCCGCATTCATTAAACTCCTAAAAATTGATTTTCACAATTTATTCTAAACTAAAACATAAATGTGTAAACCAAACTGTAATATAAAGTGTAACTACTATAGCCGAATGCAAGCAACAGTTTTGCTTTTTAACGCTGATTATACAGATATAAAAAAGCTAAACTTATTATAGAAACAAGAACTAATCTTTAAAGTAACAAGAGCTGTTGTTATGTTTTTTGTAAAAAATACTCCACACTCTAAAAAAAGTTTCTTGAGCGCTGAAGTGCAGAATTTAAGTCCTCTATTTGGAACAAATAAAAAACAAAATTCCCATTGACTTTTTAGTACTTTGAAAAACTGAAGAACACCTTATTTTTTAGAGCATGTGATGGTGCTTTAAGAGTTCCGCTTCTAGCTAGACCTGTATCAGTTAAAAATGAAGTGTTGTTGAAAGTTTTAATCAATAGCAAAAGAAATCACAATTGCAATAGTTATCTCGGCTATCCAACAGGGGACAACCCATTATAATCGGAATATACCAATCGAGATTATACCATTAGTTAAAAATAATAAAATCAGAAAGCGTAAACAGAAATTAGAAACGAAAAGAGGTGAGATACTTTATCTATATATATATATCAGAGTGGATGTGTTTCAACTGTATCATGTTACTGTGTTTTCTTATAGCGTTCAGTTAATGCTATGCACTGAATAACTGCATGGTGAACTGATGCAAAATGTTCCTTTGGTAAAGAAACTCGCAATACTAATAAGTGGAGACAAAAAGAGAGATTTGGGTCTGCGATTGAGATGGTATTTTGTAATGTTTTACGGAAAGAGCTATATAGCATGCAATCAATTAAATAATGTGAAGTACTTTCCGTTTCACCACAACGACACATGTCATCGGATTAAATGTTTTTAAACAGGTATGGCTTTAGTGGTGAAAAATTACAACGTACCTGATAGAAAAAAGTATCTAACTTCCATGCCGTACATACGATAATGGAGATATTTATAATTAAAATGATTTATAAAAAAATATTTGAATGCCTTTCAAGCTTGAGTGCTTGACAGCAGATGGTAGTTGTGCCTATTTATGTAACGTATATGAAAAATGATCTATTGGCTGTAGCAGCGTGTAATCGTATATTTGTAAATACAGTCCGCTTACGTAATAAATGCTGTACAGCTGGTCTTGTCTTGACAAACTAGCGCGAGCATTCAGGTGTCATTCCAACAATTATATTTTTTAAAAGAAGTAGCTTCTGCATCGTATATCATCATTAAGTCTGGCCATCCTAGTAATTTAAAAATTATTTGTTTACTAGAAAAATACTGTGCACCAGATACAATGAGTACTGCTCTATACTGCAAGTTAAGGGTGGATTTTAATTCAGCATGGCAAGTGCAAGAGTAAATTACAACGGCATAACTTAGCACAGACCAAATGAACGCTTTATAAATCTGGTCCAACCCTGGAGTATTAAATTCATGCTTCTTCGTCATCATCCCTAGAACAGTGTTACACTTAGAAGCAATATATTTTATATGACGCCTCCAGGATAATGAGGAGGTAAAGATCACTCCTAAGTGCTTATGTTCTTTAATAAGTTCTAAGTTAGAACTTATTAAAGAACATAAGCACACACGTTAGAACTTCTAACGTGTGATTCGCCAGCACAAGAGTCTGAAGATGATTTAATAGAAAAACACATTGTAAAACATTTTTGTATACTTGGGCGCAAAAACCACTTAAGAGACCATGTGTGTACAGTAGCTAAAACAGTATTTAAGGATTTATTTACGTTCTTGCTATATCCGAAAAATATAGCATTGTATCATCCACAAACAAGTGCACTTTAGACAACAGATCTAATCCTATATCCTCAACGTACACTAAGAAGAGGAGTGAGTCCAATATACTATCTTGGGGTATACCACAATCAGAGCTGGAACCGGTTCTTTCTGAAAATCGAAAAAAAAAATGTAACTCTCTATGAGAAGATATGTTATTTTTTTCTGAATTTTCGTACTTCGCAGGATTTCTCATCTCATTTTCCATCTTCAGTTTTTCCAATAAAACAGTCAATACGTATTTTGTAGAGAATTGAACACACTATCTTTCAGTAAACAAATTTGCTCGATTTAATTATAAGAAAGAGAAGAAAAATTGAAAATACTGACACTATAATTTTGTATGGCCCACCCGTTATAAAAGAATTTTTCAGGAAATTTTTTGAAAAACCTAGAGGGTATTTAAGAATACAAATACTTTCATTTCTTTCATGAATAGATAAATCAAATTATCCTTTAAAAAATGAGAGTCATCGGCACTCTTCATCTGTCATACAGTTGGCGTAGCATCGAATTTTTTGGATGGCTCCGGTCTATTCTACCTTTATTCTTGGTAACCTCAAAAACTGATAGATCATAAGTTACTGACCACGCTGAGTCTTACATCAATCCTGATACTCTAAGCAACGTCTGTACAACTGAATATATAAACGTCATTTTCTCGACAAGGTGGAAAAAATGCTTATCGAAATTGAAAAGGAGTTGGAGTTGAATTGCGTCAGAGTTGCTCATCTCTACTAGAATACCTCTAAAAGAAACTGAGAAAATTCTGATTGAATTCTTATTCTCCAAATCTTATTCAATTCTGAGTGGATCTTAGAAGAACTGTTCTGAATTCAAAAATACAAATTACGTGGGTCTATCCTAAATTATTTTTTCAGCCAGTACTATGAAAATAGTAAGACGTGACTTCAACGATTTTTGTTACTAATTATGAGGATAACTGCCCACGACTATATTAGAAAATGTATGTTCGTTTAACCTTGACTAAATTCTCACCTGCACGTATGAGGGCGACTGAGAACAAAAACATGATTAATTCTCGATTATCTTTTTCTGGTACAAAGATGTTTTTCTCTACAAAAACGCTACTAATTTCAATTTACTACAGAGAGAAATGTTTGCACCGAACATATCAACTGATCGCAATTTTGTTTGGAATTCAAATGGTAAAGAGATCTTCAAACTAGTCAGTTTTATTTGAACTTTCTAATTAAGAATATTTTAGAATTTTTTCTGTTTCTTGAAGGAGCGTTAAAACTTTAAAAATTTTAGGTCAATATCCAGTGCCTGATAATCATTCAAAGAATAGCGGCTGTTGTGAACAACATCGATGGCGAATAGTTGTGATTATTATTGTGGCCGTTTTTCTTCTACTTGCTATAGTTGCAACAGTAACAGTACTTGTTATAAGATCAAAACAGAAACCTGAGAAAATTATACCAGTGTCAGAAGAACATGAGGTTTGTGTTTTTTTATTAACATGTTTGGAGAAAATTATTAAAGTATCATTCATTCATTAATTAATAATGCAACTACATCTAGGTTTTAGTTCGTGGATTATTAACATTTGATACAGTTCAAAAATCAAATTTCTGTAAAGATTTGGGTCAAAATGAAACAATAGATGATTGTATTTTAGTTCAGAACGCGAAAGCTGTTATGAACGCGTTGTTAATGGTAATAGTTGAAATTCATTTTAAAATAATATGTAACTGAACAATATATTTTAGGTTTCTCCTGATTCTACATCAAATACATATCAAAATAATTCAATCTTGACCACAAGGAACACTACAACTGATTGTTCTAGTATGAGAATTCGACGAAATCAATTATCGGAAATATTTGAACCTCAGTAAGAACCTCTTCTCAAAAGAAAAACGCTCTACAAAGTATTCGTGTTGTAGAACATTAAAAGTTATTTACACGTTGTCTCAAGTAACATATACCCCAAATGATGGCATTATACCAATTATTTCTAACAGCACCAAAAATATTGAAGCTCGAACACAAATCGATAATCGTTCACTTACTAATAAATGGTCATCACCAATTTCTTATTATATCAAACCAGGTCTAACCCCTCAGATGATTGCCAATGTTCGAACAGCTATTAATAACTGGCAAACTGCAACTTGTATAACATTCATGGAGATAACACCACCATTCAATACAAATGCTTATTTATCATTCGAGAGAGATGATGACAATGGATGCAGTAGTCCAGTTGGTTTCGATCCAACTGATCCCACAACAGTTATTTTATTGGCTGAATATTGTGGCTTAGTATGTATGACATTATGTCAAGTTAAGTTAAAGTTATAAGCAAAAATTTTCACTTCAGATTGTTGCGTCTGTCATGCATGAGATCGGCCATTCGTTAGGAATGGTTCATACTCAATCAAGATCAGATCGTGATAATTATGTACGAATTGTTACAGCAAATATAGATCCAGATTTTCTGAATAACTTTTGGCGTTGGCAATTTGGCACAATTATTTTTCCTGACGTTGCATTTCCATATGATTTTGGTAGTGTTATGCATTATGATTCTTATGTAACTATAAGTGAAAAAAAAATAGATTAACGTATGTTTCGCTATTCTTATTCCGCATAGGCATTTTCAACGAATGATAAACAAACAATTTTGCCTTTTGATGATCGATATATAAAAACGATTGGTCAACGTGAAAAAGTGGCATTCTATGACTATAAACAAATAAATAGATTGTACTGCACGAGACCAAGTAAATATGCAAGGTTTTTTGAGTAATTATAATTATTTATTTCAATTTATGTACTTAGATTGTCCACAAATGTTTAATAGTAGTTGTCAAAATTTTGGCTATTTGGATCCGAGAACATGTACAACATGTGTTTGTCCCGAAGGATTCGGAGGACAATATTGTGAAACAATAGGTAAGTTTGAATAGCTCAGCTTTTGAGTAAAATGTATTTAATTTACGATTAACAATTCTAATACTTTTTATCTAGTTGTATGTATGTACTCAACGTTTTAGATCCAACGAGTACATGCGGCGGGATTATCACAAATCCTAATCCATATTTGTCCACTCAAATAACCATACAGAATCCGTCTCCAACTTCAGCTACACGTACTACACAATATTGTGTCTGGATGATACGAGTGCGTAATAGAAAGATGTTATTTCTTTTCTTAGTTTAAAACAGATTTTGTTTATAGTCACTAAGTGCACAAAAAATTCATTTACGACTCGATTTTTTGAATACAGACAATCAAGAAACTTGTAATTTGACCAATCTAGTTGAAATTAAATATCGAAATGACCTAGCATTGACTGGTGCCAGGTTAGTCCTAAGAGCGGATAATCAAATGGTAACAAAATTAATCTATTTTGTTTATAAATTTTAGAATGTGTGGTAATAGCCAACGTGATAGTTTTTCTGCATCATTTCAAAATATTACAGCTACAATTAATACAATGATGGTAATTTTTCGTGCAAATAACTATTTAAATAATTCTGGAAATCCAATGTACAGTTTTAGAGCAACAGTCACATTTGGTAAGTTTATTGTGCAATTTCATTCGTATACCCATGTATGTTTCGTCTACAGATGCCGAGCCACTACCGTTAGTAAATTTAACAACCACAACATTGCTTTCAACGCCATCACCGACAACAACTCCAAGAGTAATAACTCCAATTCCAATATCTACGTCGACAACAACAACAACAACAACAACTCTAAGAGTAATAACTCCAATTCCAATATCTACATCGACAACAACCACTTTCACATCTCAGGCAACAATAGCGACCAGTAATACTTGTCCTAGTCCATCCTTTCGATGTCAACTTGCCACTCAGCCAACATGTGGTGGATGTTTACGGTATGAACCATGTTTAGCACAAGGTACGCAACAATGCATTGTTAGTGCATATCAAGCACAATTAGTTAGTTGCAATCAAATTATTAACGGAGTAGCACAATGTTCATATAGGTAACAACGAAAATAATAGTTGAAGTTGTGTGTTTACACTTATTTACACTCTTTTTAGATTTGTGCAAACAAATTCTACTATGACTTGTCAACGAACGGTATTGCTTTGTTGCCCTAATTATAGAATAATACAATTTCAGTCACAATACTACTGTGTCTATGATCCGTATTATACTGATAATTTTAATGAATGGTCAGTCATTTTGTAGTTTTTTTCTAAGGGTATATTTTTTTATTATATTTGTAATAAAGATGATTAATTGGAAATGTTATTTGATTTATTTTTACCAAATTATACATGAGAATAGCCCTTATGATAGAAATAAGATGAAGAACGACTAGAGCTATTCACTTTACTATTTGAGTTTCGCAATATTTTTTCTACTTGTGAGTTAATTTTTGCTCGTACTGATTTTTTGTTCTCAGTATGGCGATGTTTCTCACAACTTCATTTCGATTCATCTTTATATTTAATTTAATCACATAATTATAAAACTGATGCAAAAGCGGACAAATCAAATGTGTTTCTAATTCTAATTTTATTTTTATATTCTTCTTACTAAATGATCTGATATATGATTACCTTGACACTTATGAATATTTGCTAATAACATACTATGAATGATATTATGTACTAGTTTATAAGTAATATTCATCTCTCGATTCATGTGGTCCATTGACTGAAAGTATAACAACGCGTCGATTCCAACGTACTGATAGTAATACACTGAATACACTATTGGTACACTGTCATATGGCAAGCATCGAACTTAAAAATATTATACTGAATATGATCAAGAATCAAGAAGCAACACATTAAGTTCAAGTTCATTTTTTTTTCAGTCAGTAGAATAGTATAAGTGAAAAAAATCGAAAAATATATACACGTTTTGATACACCGATACACTTTGACTTTGTCATAAGGTTCACTTCTACAAGTAAACAAAGTAAATAAGTTTTAAACAGTTGAAGAAGTGAAGAAACAAACTGAATCCCACCTTTTTTTTAGTCCTTTTTCGTTTCTTCTTCATCTTCTTGCTTAATTTTAATATATCACCAAATACGTATTGATCAATCTTTTCACTCACGTTTATTTTTATCGACTTCAATTTATCTATGTAGAATAAAGTAATATTTAAACAAGTTCAATAGAATTATCTCCGTTTTATCTTGTCTCATTTCATACTCACTTTTTTTTCGATTTTTCAATGCTTCGAGTATCATATTACCACACACATTCCCAATGACGTTTTCATCCAAATCTAATTCTTCTAATTCTTCACTGATTTCAATTAAACTAAACGAATAGAGAATTCAATAATAGATCACATACTTGCAGAAGTGCATTTCTTTCTGCATCGCAGTGCGATCATGTGTTATCCGCGAAAACGGTACTTTTACATCGTACGATTTATTACTAGATGCGACTGTTGTACCAAAATCATGAGTCAGGGACGTATCTCTACTTTCAGAGCAGGTTGATGGTAAATAATTTATCTCAATGTTTCATAAATAATGTTCTAAAATTTTGCTTTGTAAAATAGCAGGTTTATATTTCCAAAAAGTATTTTGCTGGGAGAAAACACAAAATCTCAAAAAGAAAAATGGGATAACTCCATTTCTATTTTGTGTTCCTTTATTAAAAGATAGGAGTGCTTACCGTGCATAAGCTTCAATTACTTCTCGTATTTTAATAAGTCCATCTCTTTGTAAATGATCAATTTCATTATCGAATAAATGTATCTTAGATACAAAGGGTCCAACTGGTGGTGGCTCATCTGATTTTTTCTTCTTTTTTTCTAAACTATCAAGAGAAAAAGTTCTAATTTCATGCAAAACAATGATGCGTTTCGTTTCCGACTTTTTTTCTTTTTCTTTGCAGTCGGTTCTGGGTCCAGCCCTTGTTGTTCTCGTAATAAGGCTAGAAAAAGTATCAAATGAAAGCTCTTATATTTAATTTAGATAAAATTTTACCTTCTTGTGCTTTCATTTCTTCATCGATACGTAATTTGTCTAATTTCTCAATTGTAAATTTTTCACAGTCATGTAGTAAATCTTTAATTAATGCCAAAGCACCCTGACAACCAAGCTGATTTCCATCAAGATAAATTTCACTAAAATTATAGGAAAAAAAAGTTTTCTCTATTCAATTCCTAGTTAAAGAAATACAAACGAAATTGCTGTATTCAAAAGTAAACGACTCAAGTATTGTCCACATAGTGCACTAATATCACAATAAGTTAAACTTAATGATGTTATTGTTCGATTGTGAATTAGATTAAGACAAAGTGCAATACAGCCATCGTCACCGAAACTAAATAATTAATTTTTTTCTACAAGTAAATACGATTATTGATAATCAAACAGGCATACCAATTATAGTCCAGATTTAATGTGCGAAGTGTTCGGCAAACATTGAAAGAGCTGAAACAACATTTGCTCGATGTTATAACTATCGAATCAACGATATAATTATTAATCAATCTAATCATTATTGATCTTCTTGAATGATCTCGATCAATTTTAGAGTCATCTACTAAACATAAATTTGTAGACACTCGCGAAAACTTGAAACTTTTTTTTTATTGTAACTTATCTATTTGCTGACGATCAATAGTTTAGATGAAGAAATAATTATGGTATATTTTAAACAAAACAAACATACGGTGAGAGTTTCTCTAGCGAATCTGGTTGAATTGCGCAGTCACGTAAATAAAGACTTTGAATTGTTATCATTGGTAGTTTGAGATATCTACCCTATAAAAGTGAAAAGAATTTAATGTTGCAGTTGCTTAAATGATAATTATGAAAAACTTGAAAAAAGTAACGAACAATTCTTACCAATTCGACACAATCAAGCAAATTCATACATAAACCCCAAACAGAAAATTCTTTTAACGTGCTTAATTCTGTGTCGATAATCGATTGAACGAACGGTCTTACAAAAGTCTATATTGAAAGCAAAAATGTTTTATGTTTACTACAAAATCAAATCAAATATCTTGTATTACATTCGGTATGGTTTCGACAATCTGAGAATCATTTTCTCCTACATCCGTTGTGACAACAGGTATTCTCAATTTTGGAGCTTTTAATATTGGCCGAATAAAAACCTATTTTCGAAACGAGAAATGCTTTTCATTTTGATTACTACGTATTAGGCAATAGAACTCTCGAACCTTTTGAAGACTTTCTCCTTCATCGATTTGTGTTCGAAAATGTTTGACAACGTCTGGACAAGTAACCCCACGTTGTTCCGAACTATAATGTTCATACAACTTCAATATTCTATTCAATGTTGCTGCATTCTTTTCTACCTCTTCCACATCTTTTTTTTTAGCCTTTTTCTTTTTTCCTTTAGCCATTCTGATCTAGAACAACAAACAAGGAAACTTCAGCCGTTCACCAATAAAAAATACCTAAATCTCAAATTAGTCTTTGGTTAAAAAGATTTAAAACTACAACTAATGAACTCTTCTGCATTCTGCGTCTACCATTAGCTCGACGAAAACTATGGTAACGACTTGAATCTCGCAGGTGTGTAGAGAGTGTAGATTATGTAATATATCTAAACTTGTAGAATATATATATCCAAACTTACTTGACTTTACTTGTCATCTCGAAGAACAAAATTTTCCATTTCTTTTCCTTGTTTTTGTTTTCAAAAAACCGTTACGTCAGTATAGCCTCCATTTGCATTCTAAGCCAATTACAACTGATATTACTCTCCAATATATGGATGGTAAAGTAGAGAGCGTCAATCCAGTATTTTCTATTTCAAATTTCAAATACGGAAAGAGAGAGTGAGAACACATGTGTGCAATTCTGCATCGGTGCAATTTTTATTACTTTATCTTTCTTTATTCGTCAAATGTTAGCTTGAACTTCGGTCATGTTTCGTTTTAATATCAATTTTTAACTGTTGCATAATTGGGTTTTAAAACGAATAATTCACTCACGAGAGTTGTAGACACACTGATGAAAAGAATTATACATTGCAATCTTCTTGTGTTTATGCATAAGTGTAAGCCATATGATAAATTGAAATCACTAAGATATTTGCTAAAATACAATACAAGACAATTTATTAAATCACCAGTAGTGGGTGATTTAAGGACTCTGTTTTTACAACTATCTCGATAATTCTAATAGATCATCAAAAGTGATAACAGGAAATAAATTCTCATTTAGTCTTTGTTTATATCTAAAACTTTTATCCGATAGAATATTCCAGTAAAAACTGAAAGTGGACAAAATAAACACATTTTTTCGTCCACATACATACCAGATAAATTATCTTATAGTAAGAATGTGCTATTTCTAACTAATAAAATGTCTTATACAATTTTGTGAGCTACTTCAGTAATACAACTGTTTTAATCCGACTCAAGATATACTGAAGATAATTTTCAATTTGGTGAATGCATAAAATAGGTTTCAAGGTTGCTAGGTTCAAATAGTCGCTTTTTTATGCGATTGATAAGATTTTGATCCATATTTTTCCTTGAAAACGGCTCTACATTAATACATAAAATGCATTTCTGTCTCTTTTTTAGATCTTTTTCTTTCCTCATTGTATCATCGAAGAAGATGGGTTTCGGTAACCTCGAATCAAGTGAAGGTCTTAACTTACTGAATGCATTTTTATCAGACAAAAGTTATATCGAAGGGTAAAAGTTTCATATTCCTTGAAGTATTTCTTATTGTAGTGGCACGTTGCTTCTCTTTTATCTTGAAGATATCAGCCATCGAAAGGTGATATTGTTGTTTTTGAAGCCGTTAAAAAATCGCCACCAAAGGATTTAGAAAATGCATTTCGTTGGTTCAAACACATTTCTTCATTTGATGATAATGAAAGGCAAAAGTGAGAAAAGTTCTCGTATTTTTTTGTACAAAGTATTTGATCAAATCGCTTTGCTCAGGTTCAAAGGGGAACGAAAAGCAATTGACCAATATGGACGGGTGAGTGGCCAAGATAGTGTTGAAAAACATGTTTTTAAATCATTATCACATGATCCACATGAAAAATCAGATGAAAAAACAAATACTACAACAGCAAAGCCAGCCAAGAGCGGAAACGATGATGATATCGACTTGTTTGGATCTGATGATGAAGACGATGAAGAAGCAAAGAGAATACGTGACGAACGTTTGAAAACTTACGCAGAGAAAAAATCTAAAAAACCCGGTACATAAAAGGACTAGTTTTTAAGGGACAAAACAGTTATAATTTATTTCAAAATGTCTACTTTTTCTAGGACCAATTGCAAAAAGTTCGATTGTTTTAGACGTATGTAATATTGTTCAAAATACATTAGTCACTTTCATTCGCTGTTTCTTTCTTCAAGATAAAACCATGGGAAGATACCACAGATTTGGTTGAAATGGAACGTTTGGTACGAGGAATCGAGTTAGATGGGCTTGTTTGGGGTGCTTCCCGTTTAGTCCCCTTGGCATTCACAATCAAGAAACTTCAAATAAATTGTGTTGTTGAAGATGATAAAGTAAGCGTTTCAACACCATCTGAAAATAACTCTTTCTTGGCATCTAATATGTGCTGGTAAGATACCAGTTTTTCTCCCAATGCTTTTCCTCCATTGTTACCTTAACATTTATATTACTTTCTCAAATCCGAGATAAAACTTGTTGTCGACTTTTCGCTCGTAAACAAAATTTGACCTTGTGTTTGTTCCAAAAGAAAGCTTTCACTTAAACATAAACAACTAGACTATCAAAACTTTTCTACATTAATACTACTTGGAGTCAAATAAAAACATTGGGTCTCATAGGAGCAATACGATACTTTTAATTCCAAGTTAGCAGTTACGCTAACTTTACGTGCTTCCTTATATATCACCGTTTTACTGTGTTCTAAATATTTTTTTTGACAATTTCTAAACGTTTTCTTATATAGGTTGGCACAGACATTCTTGAAGAACGTATTACGGAATTTGAAGATTATGTTCAATCCGTCGATGTTGCTGCATTTCAAAAAATCTAGTGGAATGCGTATGAGACAAAGCACGCATATATTTTTCCCAAATTTATTCTTATTGTTATTTGTGAAGCATGTTTTTCTCTTCTACCGTTATTTAGTCTTGTATTTTTCTTTTGTAACATCATTATTATGAAACAAAAATAACAAGAAAAGAGAACATTAGCAACAATGATATTTTCTGTTTTTGATGCTCTTTTTATTTCTCTTGATTTGTTTGTATTGAACAAAAGATCAATTTTTTTTTTGTTGTTTCCTTATTTTAGATGGCTGCTATTGAAACAAAGCTTTACGTAACCAATTTTCCCTCGTCCGCTACGCGTCAACAATTACAATTATTTTTTGGACGTTTCGGTCGTGTACAAGAATGTGCTATTATGTGGAATTCATACGCATTTGTGCATTATTCAAATATTGACGAAGCTAAACGTGCTTTAGAACAGGCAAACGGTGCTTTGTTTCTAAATCGAAAATTGATAGTTCAATTATCAACAAGTAGATTTCGGCCAAATCCAAAGGAAATTACAAATGGTGGAGGAGAAAATGTAGACAATGGTCTACAAGATTCATTTGCAACAAATGGTGATAATGATGGATGGATTAATAACACAAGACAAAATCAACAGCATTCGTCGCCACTTAATTATATGAATGGTAAATGATCTACACAGGAAAACGTCTCATCCTTTCTGTTTAAATTAGGACGAAAATCAATTTTTGGCTTTTGCCAACTTTTTCTCGTGATAGTCCTCAGGATACATCTTAATGAAATTGTAGCTTTTATTAGCTGCCATATTGTAACTCCAACAACAAGCTGATGTAACCATTTTTTCCATTGCCGTATGACTTGAACTTTCACTCAAAAACGTTTTACTTTTGAAAGCAACTATCTGAAGAAATGCATTTTATAATTGATTATAGTTTATACATTTCGGTTTTCTTTTCTTCTCTAAGGATGAGGAATATGTAATCGAATCACATTTTGTGTATTTGAGAAAAGCTTGCATGTTTCGTTATTTGATTCTGAACGCATTAGTTAAAAATTTCATAATACTTTTCTCTTGTCTTTAGAACCAAGCTACAACGTTGATTTAAATCGTCAGTGTTATTCATTTCAAAATGGTCATCAACAACATAATAACACCAATAATGATTATTCATCCTCATCCCTTCAACAAAAAGATAATCAATGCTTACCGTCATATTATCCACAACATGATAATAATAGTCAAAACTATCATCCTCTTGTAAATGATAGCGGTTTATTATCCACATTGGCTCAAACACCTCCACCATCTTCTGTTTCTAATGATCATCAATATTACAATCGTTTCGATTTGAATATGAACCATCTACAGCAGCAGTATATAAATGGGACAGCGTTAAATTATAATAAGATTGCTAGTAGTAGTACAAGTAGTTGTAGTAACAATGGAAGTACAAATGGAGAAATCAAAAACAGAATGATATTTCCTAATAATGATAGTGGCGATGCAACAGTAGCAACTAATAAAAATATTTCAAAAATAATCAGAACAGGTGAGAGACTTGTCGCTTTTTCATTCGTACTTTGCGTCCGATGATCAATGCAGACGTAATCGGAGGCAAACATAAACTAAGTATCAGGTATTGGTGTAATAATACTTCAAACATGCTTGTTTATAATGCTAAAGGCGTTTTAATATGATATGTTCAGATCTGAACAAAGTAAATATAACGTCTGTGTTTCCAATCTATCTTTTAATTGAATACAGTGATTATCGATGATGAGTAAACCTTAGGACACCTTTGCAATTTAACGTGGCAAAAAAACAGTTTCTGCCTATAACTGAGATAATCGTTGTTTTCTAATTAAAAGTCTATAACGGTATTAAATGAATAAATGATAAAGAATTATTGATGAGTATACTGGTTTCTTTTAGATATTGGTGCTAACAGTGAGATACCAAAGCTGTATGTTACGAATTTACCAGATAATTGTAAAGCAAATGATTTGCAACGTTTATTTTCTAATTATGGTGTTGTCGTTGATTGCGTTATTTTATGGGACTATTATGCATTTATTACTTATAGAAAATTTTCTGAAGCTGAATTAGCCTTGCAATCGTTACACGGACAAATGTGGAAAGAAAGACGTTTAATTGTTGAATGGTCAAGAGCCTCAGGTAAACCTTAAATGGTTATAGAATAAATTTCATCTGAAATAGTTACTGTTTCAATAGGGAGAAGACAAACAACAACGACATCAACTGGAATGAAGAAGGATCAAGTATTTAATACTTCCCCATTATTAAATGGAGAAGAACGACAACAAAAACAATCTTATTTAACAAGTAAGCGTTTTACGAACACTTTCTGTACATTTTTGAAAATCAAATATTATCAAGTGACATGCGTAAAATTTTACTCTGATAAGGGCGATTCGATTGCAGAATTCAGGCGCCGTGTACGTTATAAACTATGAGCAAACTGCAAAACTAAGTTCATATGTTCGAGTTTCTGTTCATATTTTTCGATAGTTTCAATTTTTGAATACTAAAAAAGATTGTTCTTTGCTTATATTATGGAAGAATGAAGTGATTCATGCATCTAGGCGAACGAGCTAAAGCTGTAATCTAATAAAAAGTAGTTACGTTTAGTGTCATGATTTTATAATAGAATCAATAAATGCTATACCAAACAGCAAAAATTCATCTGATACATTTGAGAGTGAAATTGAAGAGACGTCTTTTAAATCACTTTTTGTTCTCTATTTTTTAATAGATAAGAAGGATGTTAGTCAGAATCTGTTTATCACAAACAATAGTAATCTGTCTCAACCGTTATCTCCTTCAAAAAAATCACCTTTATCACAATTAGATCAGTCGTCACGTGTTCGACCAGCAACATTATCGTATCTTCCACATTATCAGCAACAACAGTTTGCATCAGCTCTGTCTCCTACCACGATGATTTCACCAACACCAACAGTTCAAACGTCTTCGGCACCACTTCCGCAATCACCTCAACAACAACAACAAGTTTTTTCAGTCAATCGAAATCTGATGATGTTGTCACTTTTACAACATCAACAACAACAGCAGCTGCCTAAATCATCATCACCTGTGCAAAATCATCCAAATGTCTATTTAGGAGGAGCAACTCCACCGCCAGGCAATGGTGCGAATTATTCCGAAAACACGAATACACTAATGCACAATTCGTTTCCTGCCTATGCTGGTTCTAATATTAATTCACTAGCAGATAATAATGCAACATTCGAACGGTCAGTTAGAGAAAATGAACAATTCAAAATTGTTCATTAAAGTTGCTCTCATTGTTAATCGCTCGATTTCATTTATATACTTTCTAGTTTGGCTGCTGCAAGTAGTAGTAATAAGTCTCCGTTGGATAATTTATTGTTTTCTCCTAAAGGCAACAGCAACAATAATACAAGCCTTAAAGATGCTGAACGTACACAACAACACACAATGTCGGATATTGTAGCTTTACTTGATGGATGTACAAGTGATCAAAGTGAAACAAAATCCTTATCAGATCTTCGAACCACTTCGGCTATGTCTTGTTCATCGTCAACACGTGCAGAACCACCGAATATCTTTAATAACGAGTCAATTTTATCCTCATTATTTTGGAATATTGATTTTCCAGCAGCAGTAAGTAATGCATCAATCAAACAATCAGTTTTGAATAAATTATTTGAATCAAAAACGGATTGTTTTGAAAATCATCAAGAAAATATGGGTACATCATCGCAACAATCACGTCCATATTCATATCATTTAACATTAACAACAGCACCAGAAAATAACTATCAATCATCGATGTATTGTTATAATGGTTGGAATTAAATGATCAGATCGATACTTGTTAACCGGTCGACGACTATCTCTTATTGTCTCTGTCTGCCAGGTACATACAATTTTTGTTTTGTTTTTCCACAGTGATGTATTACTATGTATGATACCAGCTGTTTATTTTGTTTATTAGTTATTGACGCAAAAAATCGGTGTTTATTCTTTTTCTTTTTGTTCTTCTCACTCTAGTCGTACACATGGACTTTTTTTTCGTTTTCGCGCTTATTTAGGAAAAATTATCACGTTTGCTTCCTTAAACGAACTGTGTTTTTTTGTGTGTGTGTTCTTTTTATTTACACATGACTATCTCGGTTTTGATCTTTTCTAAGAAAAGATCAGCGTCTGTCTTTATTGACGACATATACATTCTCACTCCTTAACCGGTTAGAATCGACGCATGATTTTCGTTTTCATTCTCTTTTGCTCATTCTTCAGTAATATAAATACAGCTAGTTTCTTTTTAAGGTGAACGATTTTCTAAGAAGTAGTATAGTTTAAAACAACAGGGGAGTTTTGTAGCATGCATTTATTGCTTCTACAGTAGAAATGACAAAATCTGTTATCAATAAATGTGTTTCTACAATATTAATTACGAAAAACGACAAAACATATTTTTCTTGTTATTATCCTAGTAGTCAGAATAGTTTTCAAATATCGGTTAAAATTATATATAGCAGAACAGTCATTGTAAGCTCCTATTTTTTTTCTCTCTCTCTCACTCTGATCAGGTATTTGTTTTCGTAGTTGGGTGTATTTATACCTTTTAAATACTTTCATTTTTTTTTTGTGTCTTATTGATTTTTTTTTCCGATATTTTTTCATTTTCTACCTTGACCAAGCATTCATGTTACACTGTGCCATTTCGTCTCTATGATGTTTCTATTTTAGTGTTTATTCTTCCATGAGAAACATACACTTAAAGATCTTACATTCTTTTTTATTAGAAAAGCGAATGATTTTTTCGTTAAAATGCCGAGTGTAGTTTAGAATTTGATTTGCGTTGTGTTGTGTGCATTTGACATTTTCCTCTCTCTGCCTCTCTCTATTGTTGTTTTTATTGTTATTTACTCGTTTCGCATGTGTGTATATCTCTTTCTCAGGAGAAGCTTATTTCAATCAGCGATACATATTTAAACAAGAACAGTTTGATGTTTTCTCTTTTGTTTGATCGTGGTCATTTTTTTTGACTATGATTACCGTTTTCTCTTCCTATGTTATCTGATTGAGACGACGAATGTTTTGAATCCGGTTTTTCTCTTCTGTTGTTTGTTTGATTGTTTTGTTTATTTTTCATTTTTCAACTTTTCTTTGTAATACATCTGTGTATGTGCGAATACGCACATAATAATAGAAGACTTTTTCTTCATTTCGTTTTGTGCCGTGTGTGCGTTTAGTATTTAAATTGAAACAGTTATTTAGCAAAATAAAAAGTAACCTTTAATTATTATTTAGTCTCGCTTCAACAAAAAAAAAGTTACTGAATAGGAAAACTTATCTCTCGATCTTTGTATATGTGTGTGTGTATGTACCCATTATTCTTTTCTTCCTTTTAATTGTTATCTAACATAATGATGATATTCATGTTGAACATTTTTTTGTAGCACCATATAAAGTGCGTTTGTGTGTCTTTGGTAAGGTATTCTATTCATGTGTTATCTCTCTCTCTCTCTTTCTCATCATTTATTTTTCTAAAATAAATACGAACTATGAAATTTGGAGAAGTAAAAAGACAGTTTCTTTAATCATATAGAAAAGGTATGTAAGAAGCAACAATAAATGGACATAATAGTATTTTGTCGAATTATGATTCCTTAGTACTCTAAAACGCTTTAACCATTTCTCGATCCCCATATATTCCATGCTTTCAACCAAACTTTATCTGATCAATTACTTTTTATTATTGAAGTAAAAAAAATAGTTTTATTTTCATTCATTTTTCTACCAACATCTATATAACAAAAGAGCAGTAAGATATTGTCTGTTTGGGCGTGCCAATTTTTACATTTGAAAGAATCATTGAGTTTACTCAGTGTGATATCGACTATTATGTACATGCTATAGTTCACAATAAAGTATAGACAGTTACAGTTAACATATGTGATGTCTAAGACTAAGAATTACCAACATATAAAATGATTGAATATAATACAAACACTCGGAATCATTTGTTTGTTTATGTCGAACTTTTGTAGAGTTCTCTCACCATCATCAGAAAAAAACAAAATGAAAAGAAAAAATTGGCTATTCAAACTATATATTAGTAAATTAAATTGTCGAGAGAAAAGAGAATGTATATAGTTGACTAAATATATTCGTTGAACATTGTTTCTTCTTGAAGGAATAAGCTCTTTGATGAGGACGTCAAGTGCTAAATCGTATTCAATTACTCTTAGTTTATATTTAATTTCGTTCAGTGATTCTCTATGGCTTAGATGTGTAAATAAACTTTTCATTAATGATTCGACATCGTCAACAGATTTCAAGATCCAATTTGTCGATTGTTGAAATCGAATGATCGAGTGATGAGTTTGCTCGACGTGATGAGCGACTAGTAATGACGATTTTTTTATATTGTAAACATCAACTTGATGCACTTAAATCGTTTTATCTCGTTCGGAATGCTTGTCATAGTTTATGCACTGTATACAATAGTATAGAAGAAGAATAATATGAATTCTTTTGTGTAGGGTGTGTACACTGTAGAGATAAAATAAAATGACTCTAAGATAATAGAGAAGACCTTAGATATGATTAGATTCTCATTGAAGAGTCAATGAACAACGATACTTAGTTGTTTTTTTTTGGTGGAAAGAATACTATATGAATTGTTGGAAAAGCAAAGCAATATATAGACGCTAATGATTTGTAATAAAACATCATTTATTGCACGAATTCAAATTTTCTGCCAATATTCAGTGGATGAAAAATAATAGAAAAAATCCACTAAAAATAAGAAACTGAATTGACAACTTATAACTTCGTCGTTCGATATCTTGCAAAAGTCTTCTTCCACGACTAAAAGACGATCTAAACTCCAGTTTGTCAAGCCCAAGTGCTTGGGCTTGTTTCCCACTATGAACATGAATTAGAGATCCGCACAGATCGGATTTTTAGTCGGACCGGACTAGAAAATGTTTAAGAGCATCCAACCCGGGCTTAGGTCGAAAAGTTTCGACCTGTGATTTGACTCAACCACATTCGCTGAACGTCTCGAGAACATACATAAGAAATTATTATCACTCGTTCAGATTCATGTTGCAATTTAGCACTTGACGTCCTCATCAAAGAGCTTATTCTTTCAAGAAGAAACAATGTTCAACGAATGTATTTAGTCAACCATATACATTCTCTTTTCTCTCGACAATTTAATTTACTAATCTATAGTTTGAATAGCCAATTTTTCTTTTCATTTTTTTTTTCTGGTAATGGTCAGAGAACTCTACAAAAGTTCAGCATAAACAAACAAATTTCAGTCATTTTATATTTATTTAAAACTACACTTTCGTCTTGAATTTTTGATGTGTACACATCTGGATTTGCTTGAGTTTCTATTTCGTTCTGCCATCCTAAGAAAATCTATCCTTTATAGTAAATGAACATGATTAGAATTAAAGATGTTTGAGGACGGATTTTTATTAATATATATTTTAAAGAAAAAATTTTGTACAAATAGAAATGTTTTTAATATAATCTAAACTACAGAGCCCACTGGATCTCTTTTTTCAGACGATGTTAATATAATATTTTGACTATTTAAGTCTGATTTTGAACTATGTTTTGAAAAATCGTTGTATATTCTTTCAAAACGTTCTAAATATTTATTTATATCTGTCATTGATAAACGTTTTATTTGATTAAGTGTCAAATTATTATTTTCGATATGATTAGGATGAGAGATATTTTGTGAATATTTTTCATATAATTCATCAGAGTTTCGATGAGAGAAATTAGTATACTGTAATGGTTGATGTTTATTTAACGACGAAGAAGAATATGGTCGTTGATTCGATGGTATTTGATAATGTTCATTTTCAATTGGATATTTTGGATCATCATAATTGCCATTTAATTTTAATGTTCCAGCAGAAGATATTTTATGATCAGATATTATAGGATAAACACGTTCCCGTTTATATGAGCAATTTATATTCGATGGATTTATTCGTTGAAATGAATCACGTCTGATTGATGATGTTAAAGAAGTTGTATCCATTGTATCAATAAATCGAGAAAATGGTGTTGGTGGTGAACTAGTGATTATCTAAAAATAAATATAAAATTAAAAGTGTTAAAAACAAAGACTCGGAGTTCACTCTTTAGAAGGAAAAAAAGAGAATATTCAGTTGAATAATTTTTAGTACTAAATAGTCAAATACTACAGAGTTGCAAAGATTATCTCTAATGCGTTGTATTTGAGTGTTAGATCGAGTATTTCCGCTGTTACTCGACCATTTGTATTTCATTCTCTCGTTTAAAAATGATTTTACTCTATAAGTGTATATAGATGTAAATGTTCTCTTTTCTTGAAGTGTGAGAGACGGTCACATCAATTACTGTAGCTTCCAAAAGTGCAGAGGATTTTAAAAGATTTGTAAATGATCGTTATCAAGTACAGTATAGAATTTCCATATTTGGTACATCTCATAATGATGTCTCTAATTACGAGTCAGAAAAAAGTGCAAATAAACTTTATCGTTAATGAGAATAGCATCATATCCGTGGATCGACCATTATGATTGAACTCTAGTCTATTCTTTCTTTTATAGAAAATCGCTAGTCAATTCTGTTTATTATAAATCATCTACTTCATTTTAGTCACTTACATAATCATTTTTTCCTGTTTGTCCATCATTACTCGATGTTGACTTGTTTGTTTCAATTAAATATTGATTAGCAGCAACTGATACATTTTTCCACGTTTTTTCATTTTTATTCAGTTTTCGTTTTGCTAATGAATGTCGACAACGATTTAGAACGATGATTAATGTTGTTAATATTATTATAATGATAGAAAAACATATTATAATAAATATCCATGAATTTGATGATATTGTTGATTCACTAGATATAGCTGATTTTATACCATCTTTGATCTCGTTTTTATCAAATTTAAAATGAATAATAAATGTATAATTTGATGATAATACAGGTAATCCATAATCACTTATTGTCACTGTTAAATTATATGTTGAAGAAATATTTTGAAAAAATAGATTAACAAATATTTTTCCACTAAATTTTTTCACTTTAAATAAATCTATTGGTTCAATTAGATGAAATTCAATATTGGGTATATTTAAATTTAGATTTTCATTCTCATTAATATCTGGATCATAGCCTTTCATTTGAAATAAAAACATTTGTTTATCATTATCAACAGTTGACTTTGATGAAATATAAAATATAAGTTCATTATCATTATTGGGATATAATAATTTTGGTGCATATTGATTAATACTATTAATTATTAGTCGTACTGGCACAATTGTATTTAACGATGGCATATTTGAATTTTCAGCTTTAATTTGAAAATCATAAAAATATTTTAATGAAAGAGCAGATTTTAAATAGATTGAACCATTTTGTGAATTAATAAAAATTAAATCAGATGATGATGTATAAATACATGTGGCTATTGTATCATTGAATGGTTGAATATTACCGATGAATATATTACGAGTTGTTTCATTAGATATTTTTAAATGAAATATATAATAAGGTTGAGTAAAATATGGTACAAATTCAGTATAATAATCTATGATAAATAGACGAACTTTTCTTCGACAAGTATTGCTTCTTATTGTCGACTGAAAAAAAACAACAATAATAAATTCTATTATTTTGTAATGAAGTGTATAAACTGAAACTATAGACTGTAACTCAATTAGACTTAAAATTTCTTCGTAAGAATTAGTTTTCAAGAAGTTTTATGTACTTTTAGGTAAAATAGGTAGAAGCTGTATTTTTGTTAAAACAAGACAATAGGAGACGAGTCGCAGCTACTGTATTGCTGAATACATGAAAACTGATAGTAAATCGATTATTAATAAGAATGAAACAAATAGTTTCAAATGAATACAAACAAATAGTTTCACACTGAAACTTATGCTTATTCAAGTAAATATTCTCTTTCTACGTACGCATAATATAAGATATACGTTTATTAAACACAAAATGTGCAAAGTCCATTGTAATTGAAAATAAATTATTATTCGTATGTTACTTACCACTATTTGATCAGTTGAATTATACATTTCTATTATTGTTAAATCATATATTTTTTGTTGTTCTTCATCTAAATGTTTTATAAGTATCAAACTATTTGTATGATCAATTTTAAATGTTTTATTTTTATCAATTAATTCATATTTTATATTTGTCGATAATATTGTTCTATTTTGAAGACATTGAAATGAGTCTTGTGATAAAATTTTTTTATTTAATTCAAAATTTTCATCTAATTGTACATAAATTGTGTCAGATTTTGTTAATAAATAATTTTTATCAAAACATAATATTAACGTTAAAATTTTTGTTGAATGAATTGCGGGTGTTGTATTTTTCCATGTATCAATGTGTACAACTATTGGAAAATATTCATAATCTAATATTGATGAATTATTCAAATGAGTTAATAATTGAACAACTTTTGTAGAATTAACATTTAATTTCAAACTATTTTCATTAATTACTAATAAATCTGTTTCTCTTACAGAATAATCACAGTTAAAACATTGTTCACGATGTTGTTCATCATAAGTTTGAATTTGAGCTAATGGTGAACTTAAATCACGAAGTTGAATATAACTGCCTAAAAATTAGAGAAAAATAAATTTTAATAAATAGTATTTATTAATTCTATCAAAAAAAACAAAAAATTAATTTAATATTCATCATACCTGTTTGATTCGTTATAAGATGTTCATGTAAATGAATAATGATATTTAAAATTGATGTAAATTCTAATTCAATAATACATTCAGATGATAATTGTTTTGGTTTTCCAAAATCTGTTACATTAATTTTTAATTGAAATAAATTTTTTGTACTATTTTCATTTTTAAAATAATCTAAATAACTTGTCCAATTTTTATATGTAAATTTCATATTTCCATTTATATGATCAATTGTAAACATATTATTTGGATAAATATGTTGATTAACAATATTATAGGCTATTCGAGCATTTTCTCCTTGATCTAAATCATATGCTGTTATTTGTGTTATATTATCATCATTCATTGAATTAATCGATATTTTATAATAGGATTGTTCACATTGTGGAATATTATCATTCGTATCTGTAATAAGCACAATAATATCAGTGGATATTTGATGTATACCACTTTTAGCAACTAAACGCATTAAATAGATGTACTGTTGTTCACGATCAAATGATTTTAATGGTTCTAAATATAATAATGATGAACTACTATTAACAATACCAAATTGAATATTTTTTTCATTAACTATTGATGTTGTTGTATTAGTTAAACGAAATAGTGTTGTTGATTGCCAATTAATTGTATATAATTCATAATCAATTTGACTATCAAAATCATCATCGATGGCCATTGGTAATGGAAAATATTGACGTGATATTGGTGATGTATTTTCTTCGATTTCAATTACTGTTCGATTAACATTAAAATATAATTTATTATCATCAATGTTAATGACATGAATTGGTAATGTATAAACATCAATTGTCAATGAATTAGATACGGCAATATTTGTATTGATTAAACAATGTTTACAATTACATAAATGTGTTTGACGACATAAATGTTCGAAATCAATACGATTTTTAACGATAATTGTTCGTTGTGAATGATCAATTGAAAATAAATCTAAATCATTTGATGTTGAAACTAAATCATAGGCATCCGATTGATCTAAATTGGGAATTTTATCGGTTAACGTTGTTACAAACGATCCAATTGATAATTCTTCTTTAATTGATGTTTCCGGTAGATATTTTAATGAAAAACATAATCGAATTAATATTGTAAAAAAACAGATGGTATATTTGAACATTATTTTTTAATAGGTATCTAAAAAGAAAAAATAGTGTCTTAATACACAAGTTTAAATAGAAACTGTTACTTTTTAATATTGGACTAAATTACAACAGTAAGAAAATATACCTGGTTGATGTAGTACCAAACTATTTAGTCTAATGATCGTTCTAAGAATAGTATTCTGTTGTCTTGCTAAGACTATTCAGTTACCTAGTCGATTAAAGAAAATATTTATTCTGAGAAAATGTCTTATTCTATGTTAATACATATCTATGTACGCGTGTATGTGTGTGTGTTATGTATAGCACGTGTATTGTCATTTTTATCACCTTATCCTAGGTATTAACTTAATTTTCATGAATATTAAGTATCTTCTCAATTTCTTCTTATACGTGCGAATATCCCGATTTTCACGGCTTTATTTATTATCACCAATAGGTGACATACACATATTGTTGTGTGTCGGTAAATAACTGTAAAAATTAAAAGTTTTTTTTCGCCTTTTTCTCTAGAAACAACAATAAGGATGTGACTATTTCCTGTCCGGTTGGTCTTAATTTCATATGTCTATAAAAGCTGATAATAATACTACTGAAACGTGTATGTAAAAAGAAAAAACACTTAATATATCGGCAAGTGATCGATCTATAGGTAAAATAATGAAATAAAATTAAAAAAAAAACTGTCGTTTTATAAGTTATACTCTTAACTTAATTTATGAGCGTATAATATAGCTGCCAACATTTTTTTTTTCTTCTTCTTCTATAATAGACTCTTTATTAATTAATACTTTTTTTGAGTAAATTAGTATCGAACAATCTCTCCACTTATTCTTCTATATTTGTAAATAATCTACTTTAAACAGTTTATCAGTAACTCATTTTTGTTAAGATCGATTAATTCTCATAGGTCATATCAATGTTAAACAGTGTTTTGAAACGATATTTTACGGTGTTGACAGACTATAGTCTGAAGGTTATAAAGCCTAATTTAACAGTATATACGTACATACCGGTATATGTTAAAAAAAAAAGAATATTATTAACTTCCTATCCTACCCTCCCGCAATATCATCTATTTCCTTTTATCAATAAGACAAATGATGGTGATTATTTTTGTTTATAACTAACTCTATTTTACATAAACTAACAATCGACGTTTTATCTTGTTTATCGATGAGATTCACATACTTACTTTGTCTGTCAACACTACAGATGATGGTCACCGTTTTTTCACCTTTCATTACGTTTTATATCATCAACATTGACGAGATAATTCCGCGTTGATACTTTGATGATAGATTTATCAACGCTTTTTAACATCAGAGCTTTGGAATTATAGGTCACTTCCGTTATTCATTCTTATTTTTCTTCTTCTTCTTGCATTCATTTTTTTTTTCATAAATTAATTATTTATTGGACGTTTGGTCAAAAACATTTATAAACTTACTCTCTGACGGATGTAAACGATATATTTTGTTTAAATTGATCTACTTTAAGAATATATATATATATATCCCTATTAGACTATTTCTTTTATTTAGTTCTCGTTTCCGTTTGGTTATATGTTCAAAAATATCTCTTCTATGAACAACAAAGATAAAAAAAAAATTTTCTTTTAGAAAAATAAATACTTCCGAGTATTTAATTAACGAAACCTCGATTTCAATTCTAAACATTGTTCAAGAGAAAAAAAAGTGAACATTATGAATTTGTTTAACAATTAAAAGTGATTTTTGATCTATGTACTTAGAATAACGTCTTAGAATAAGATTATATTCATTACAACAAACACAATTTTAGAATTAAAAGAGTATACAAATATAATGGTGACAAATACCTATCAAGAGTCTATCATAAAAAGAGAACACTCTAAATTTCATTTTTTTTTAAATTTTTTTATCGTTCATGCTGAGTTCAAAGTTTCTAAAAGTAAATTTATCAAATAATAGATATTCGTCAAACGATGATAAAAAGATGAAAAAAAAACGAAATTAAGATTATATTAATACCTGAAAAGAAAAATTCCGCTAGTTTCATCGACAACTTAACTTAGCTATTTATATGATAAGTTATAAATGCTACGATCTCTCTTCACTCTTGTTTATGAAAGTTTAATAATTTTATAATGTTTTCGAATTTATTCATAAAAAAACATTTACATTAAACTGATAGTCTATTTCAAAGTTTGTTTCTAACATATAGTTTTACATATTTATGTCTGCAAATAAAATCTTATTTTATATCAGACGTATGCCACACCCACATTTCTATTATCAGCATTATAATTAAAAAAATTTCTCTCATTCTTTCTATCATCATCATCATCATCATCTATAGTCAACGAAAACAAAATTTATATGCGTAAACCTGATTATTTATATACTCTAACTCACCTATACATTTGTATCGTATGAGTAAAAGCCATATAAAATACATCATGTTCAACATGTTCAATCAATTCACACAATAGAATGAGAGAAACATAGAAATAGAAGAACAGATCAACAAACAGATACTATTTGTATTAGAAAACAGGTGGAATTTTAATTTTTTCAATATTTATAATAAAACACAAACAAAACAAGATCATCATACCATTGAAAATTAGAAAATAACATTTGCTACTTGATATCGTATCAAGGACAATTATATACTAATTTTAAAGACAAATAAAAACGAATAGAAATGACTCAAAGCTTATCAAGATTTGTCTGAACTCTACAAAAATTTCAAAAGAAGATCAATTATTTTTTCATGAAAAACGCATCATTGTTCCAAGCTCAGAAAGTTAAAAAAACAATAGAAAAATTGAATTTATTATTCAAATAAGTCAAGTCGAGGATAATTTTTTAATACAAAAAACATTTTCATCACTTTATTGCATTTTTAGACATAATATTAGATAAAAAGATGACAGAAAATCGGGAACAGGACAAATCTTTGAACAGGAAGACTGTTGGTGGAATTCTTCTTCAAGCGTACTCACAGCGATCAACCATACAACATTTTTGACTAGCAGTACATCATAGAAATAATTTCTTCATCATCTGGTACACAATATTCATATACGCCAAAAAGTAGACGCATAATACTTTAAAATTTACTATAAATTGATTTAAAAAGACATATTATTTTTGTACATGTAAGTATAATGATTTGTACATTCAATCATTGAATAATGGATAATCAATTTGTTCGTATCGTGTCTGGAGAATATATATATAATACGACGAAAGTTAAATCAAGCGTCGTCGCTCTTTTCAGAACAAGAAATATATTTCGATCTTGAAAAATTTAGTTTTATTCAAGTGTAGACTATATAATGATAAGAATAAAATGTCCAGCCTCGTTTTATAAAAATAAAGAAAAAAAAAACAAAAAAAAAACGAAAAAGAATGTTTGTCTCCTTCTCTATTTTTTTTCTTTTCTCTACTTTATGCATATCGTTCTTCCACTCATTGAACATAAATTGACCAATCGATTCAATTACCGATGAGAGATCTATAGATTAAATACAAGAATAAAATTGAATGAACGTAATGTTCGTTCATTTTTAATGATCTAGACACCAAAAAAACAAAAAAAGGTTAATAAAAGCAGTTCATCATCAAAAGAAATTAATTCTCTTTTGAAATTGAACTTTATCAGGACGTATAATTCTTTTGTTTCATTAAAAAAATATCATTCATTACTTTTTTTTTTTTGCTTTATTTTTATTATTAAACACCTGCACATATGGTGGTCAATGCCATCATAAATATAGAAAGATATTCTCAACAGACATTTTATATTGTCATCTCGATGGTTTCGTTGTAATGACCTGTCACAAATAAAAAATGTCTTATTCAAGATCCAATGTTTTAAATTTAATCGTGACTTGACAAAACAATATAAAAATGATACACACTATCCAGATGAGGGACTATAGGAAGAACAAAAAAGGCAATAATTAGTTGACATATTCATTTTCGTACTGACCATTGAGCTAGTTCAATTCTCTAGAGATTAACATACATTATGATTTCTATATTTGACGTAACCAAATTTAAATTAATATCCTCAAAAAGAGATCATCTGAGTTTACAGTGTAGACAGACATTCAAGGCAATTATTAGAATTAAAAGATTTATCGGTTGTTTGAAAAACCGTTTTCCTGTAAAAATCCTTTACATTTTAATAGTCTTTCGTATTTGATAATTAGTTGTTTAATCGTTTTATGGTAGTGAAAAATAACTCATACATTTGGCATATATCAACCAAATCTTGAACAATATGTGTGAAAGTTATGTTTCTTAAGATGTCTCACTAATATGTAAATCGATTTTGAATAGTTTGTATTCATTGTATAATTAATCTACTTAGTAATACTTACTCTATTTATGTATGGTTAATGACCGTGAGCAATTGATGAGCATAATAAAAATAAAAAAAAAAGAAGAGAGCTGTTATCCTCAGTTTTCAAATAGAATGAACGACATGCGAGAGAATAAGATACATGATTAACTTTATACGTTTGAAATGTATAATATGTATGTATATACTTTTTTGATACATTATCGATTATGACAAGTGGCAGCTTCCTTGTTAGTAAACATGAGATGATACTTAGAACATATTTATAGTTACAATGTATCAAAAATTTATATTTTGATTTATCCATCTAGAGATGTTTACGCCTACAGGTATATTATCCATATTGATAATTACATCTTATGAAATAACTCTCAAACATCACGCGAATCATTAATCTTTTACTTTTAAATTCAAAAATTAAAGTCGATTGAAAATGAATTGGGAGTTTTTATCTATACTACTCACGCATATAAATTGGTTTCGAACTCTCACGTTTATATACGGTTTTAAAAGTTAAAATTTGAATTTTACGAAGAATATCGAGCAAAACATGTCTATATCCTGGATTTTCATACACTTATTTGTATTTCTACGAGCTCTTTCAGGCTAAAGTCATCTCCTGCTGAGACTGTCTATTTGCTACATAGCTGATGATAAATTCAAACACGAAGAGCAGGAGAAAGAGAGAAAATGTCGGTCTCTTCACAGAGGCTTCTGACCATTATGAGTTTCACCGGGCAATAAATCATCGATTGATGTTTCTTCTCCGTAGCACAACACCAACATCGTTCGGAGAATATTATCCTTAGTATTCCCATGCAAATGTTTGACCGGTAAATCGACTAATCAATTTTATGTTTTTGACACCCGTCAGAAGCCAACGTCGACTGGTCGGTGCGCCATTTTCCGACGGCTAGACTAGTCGACAACTCATCGAAATTGGTTAACTCACCAGTCGACAAAAAATTTCGACCAGTTGAAGATTAATCAGAAAAAAATTCAACTAGTCAAAATACCCATCGATTCGATATATTTCTTTTGCTAGGGTTAATAAACTTGTTGGAAAATAGCTTATCCGCTCTTCAATGGTTGTATTCTTACAAATTGTATCTTCCGTATAAAAACTATGCATTTTTTTTACAACTATTAAGCGTTGATAGCGTTTTCGATAAATCATCTAAATCTCTCTCATTTTAGATATAATATAAGATATGATATTTGACGTTTAAACACTCTACGACCAGTTACATATTCGTATACGTTTAAGACTGAATCATCATTATTTAACACTAAAAGTTAACCAACATATTTATCAATTATAAAGTCTGAGCTAAGTTTTATGTAATTAGAGTTAAAGGGGTTTCAAGGACTATTTTTATAATACACTCGAGCATGCTTGATGTCTATTAAAATCTTTTCTAACCAGTTTCTAAGAACATTAACGTTCTCCAACCCTAGTCGATAATCAAAATATGATTTAAATCTCATCTTGTTTTTTTCATAGCATAGTATACAAAATATTAACAATAATAATAATAATAATAATAATAATAATAATAATAAAAAACCAGTCAAGCATGATGAGGGAAAAAGAGAGAAAGTAATTATTTGAAAAAAAGTAAACTGTTTACAAGTAAGATGGACGTGCTTACTAAATAAATCGAGAAAAAAAATAACATTTATTTGTCATCATCGAACAACCTTGTTTTGTCAGGTATCTATAAGATCCGCCTTTACATCATTTTCTTTTCTTCTTCTATCGAAGTCATGGCTATCAAAAAATTTTTAAACTATTTGATATACAGGCAATCACATCTTTGTATGTCATAATTGAGAATCTATTCATCCGTTTTACATCTTCCTTAGCAAAAAAAGAAAAAAAATTCGTCCACGTATCATATACAACTTTTTCTTTTTTTTTTCTAAAAAAAATTGAGCAGGCGCGTGGCCACGCGTTTGTGTATCACCATCATCATCCAAGTTTTTCCATCTCTCGTCAATACGGTCTCTTTCGAGGAACCTTTTTCCTTCTTATTTTTTTCTACCGTGGGAGTGCCTCTTCTCTTCTTTTTTTTCGCTTCTTCATCTATTGTACAGGTGCAAGACTAACAGAGAGAAGTTTCCTTTACGTGTGTCCCCATAGTGGACTGTTCATTTAGTTCTTTTTACATTTACACGTAGAAATCATCTAAAAACGAACACATCAAGGTATACTAACATTTTTTTTTTTCATCTTTTCTTCGTTTTATTTTCATTTTGAATTATTTATGAACATGATTCTAAATTGTGTTATCCACAGTATGTTGTTGTTTGAGTTTTCTATCTTTGAATAACGATGGGGGTGGAGAAATTGAGTTTAGAATCATATGCGCATACACATGCACTCACTCAATCGAAACAAGAACTAAACACAAAAACATGTTTCTTATTAACACGTCTGAAATTAGAGAAAATTATAACGGACTTCGATAACTATTTATTTTTCTTTTAGTAACAAACTATTTACTAGAATTTTTAGTATTTTTTAGACCTGTGTCGGTTTTGAATTAGCATCAATATGTTTCAAAAATCAGCCTACGCGCCCTCTAGACCAGGTATGTGAAAAAATTTCATCTTTGATAATTATTTAATAATTAAATACTAATTTAGGTTATGTTCCATCGTTACCTCAACGGGGTATCTATCGATCATCCTATGTTCGTCCTGGATACGGGTATCGGCCACGTTTCGTTCCTCCTGTTGTACCAGCTGGTAGAGGACCGGGAGGAGCCGGTTTATTGGCAGCCATTCTCGGACCAATTGGTGGTTTAACAGGATGTTTATGTTGCTTAAATACAATTGGCACGTGGGGATTATTTATTACAGCCATTCCATTAGCTGTATTTATAAGTAAGTAGAGTACATGTACTGTTATTTAATAATAAATAATTTTGACGAAATGTTTTTCTTAAGGCCGATGGTATAGAGATTTTAAAAATTATAGAAAGGCAACTTTTGGTAATGATGCTGAAGGATTATTCGTACATCAAATTCTCTTATGTATGGTATTATTAATATCATTATTATTTGGACGACGTATGCGTAGTATATAGAAAAAACTTTTCATTCTCACGTAACACCTACAGTAACAGCGACGACGACTTCTCAATGATCGATTTAAACAGAAATGCCATTTTTAAAATCTAGCACGATGTGCGATATTTTATTTCAATTTGTCTCTTGTTATATCTGTTTATATAAATAATATATTTTTTGTCTCTTCTATTTTCTGCAACACAATGATATTTTAAAGTTTTTTTTTTTTCTTGAAAAATAACTACAAGAGTATTTTTATCATCATGATTAAAACAACATGTGTGATTACGACGCTTATTAACAACAAATTTAAAAAAAAATAATTTTTGACGCAACAAACAAATATGATATAGAGGGAAATTGTAGTTTTTTTTTCTTCCTAATAGATTTCTTTTTAATTTTTCTAAATAAAAAACGACGCATAAAAGAAAATCGACAAAACATTTCGTTTTGTTTAAATATTCCGGTTTTCATATTAATCATAGTGTTATACAGACTTATTCCTCTATTAGCAGATGTAAATAACGATGAAATTTGATGATAAATCAGTATCATCAATGAATCAAGAAATTTCTCATCATATTCATAAACAAATTTATAATTTATTATACAAAAATTATTAGAAAGTAAATGCGATATAAAACTCTTCTATCAAATGCATAATGGTAATCCAATTATTTCTCATTTTGTCAGTCAAGTGACCATCTCGACATGTCAGCAGACAAATTCATAGGAATGACTTGTATATCAATAAACTGTTTAGGTTTATATATCAATAGAGTTATAACACTGATTTATAATATCTTATCATTTACTCTCTGTTAATAGTGTGTTAAAACCGATGTTCTTTCGTTTGTTTGATTAACTTAAGCATTACGAACTCAATAATAAAGAGCCCATATACACATAGCCAACAGACATTAGATATATCAACCAATATTATGCATTACTCTTATTTTGACCTTGGACATTCAAACTTAATTACACTACCTAAAGCTACTTTTGTGATGACTCCAATATATGCAGAAATGTTTGAAAGAACTTTTTGACATGTTGTCCGAATAAATACACATTGTCATTTCTCTCAAAATACCAATTAATAAACATAAATAAGATTTTAAATCAAAGTTTTTGATATTAAGAAACTTAATTGAGGGATATGTTAATACAGAACAATGACAATTCGAAAATAAATATTATTTTTAAATTTTGAAAGATTTTTCAAGCATTGACGAGAGTTTAACACCTGAAAACATGTATCACTTAAATAAGAGACATAGTTTTATTATAAAGTAAAAAATATCATAATAAAGCGTCTTGTTATGATAAATCGTTCAAAAACATAAAACAATCATTTTTATGCACACTCAATTTGTAATTGATCAAAAAAGTCTGTATACATCACTCTATTTCTAGATAAGAAACAGTTTTTAAACATTCACTATAGTGTGATATGTCTGCAGCAATTCTATTTGAAGAAATGCAATAATCGAAAGTCGTGAAATATTCGTGTGTATGTGTATGTCCTTATTGTCATGAAATGTGGGATGGGATTCTCTGTACTACTATGCCTGAATGAACACGAGTATATTTTAAATACCACTCATACATAGATTCTTTGCCTTCAACTATGATTACCAGTGATATTTTCATTTTTCTTGTTGATCGGAATAAGATTTTTTACGTCGAGGAGGAGTCAATGATAGAAATGTGTGTACATGCATGACGAGAGAAGAGAAAGTGGAGAACATATTCTCAATTATGCAATAGTAGAGTTAGTTGGTAAGAAAAAATGTAGTTGTACTTCTTTCCATTTTTCGTGCAGGTAATTTTGTCTATCGATTGCGTAGGAATATTAGCAAAGCCTACCTGTTGTTTTTCTCTTCTTTTTCGAATCGTTGAAAATTTCCCCATCCCTTCAATTTTTTTCTTATTATTAGTCGTACAAGGAAAATACATACTTGTATGTGTGTGTAACAGCAACATTAGTAAAAGCAGCAAGTGACTAGAAAAATTTTCTTTTTTTTTGTGATCATCGTAGAAAATAAGGTAGAAATATTAATGTTTTAATTTGATGATGGAATCATTTATCTTTGTGTGTATGCCTATCTGTTTTTAGAAAGTAAAAATAAATAATGGTAAATCCGTTAACAGTCGCATTAGGTCCTATTGGTGGCCTAGCGGCATGCGCATGTTGCTTAATAATAGCAGCCATATGGGGTCTATTTGCTACAATGATAGCACTTGCAGTTTATACAAGTATGCTCGTTTTATGTCTCTCAGTTTCTCCATTTTATCGGCTGTTTCAACCTTTATTTTAGAAAGATGGAAAACAGCAATTGAAGATGCCGGATTTGGTAGTAGTAATGGAATGCATATGATACTCAGTCAATCATTACTTATTGGACTATTACTAGTCTATGGTTATATTGGAATTAGACGATTATTAAGAAGTTAAATATTACGAACAGGACAAAACACTAATAAAAAACACACAAATATTCTCTATTTTCATGATAAATCGACGTAGTGAAAAAAAAAATTATTTAACGAGTCAACTATTTTATAATGGCGAAACAGAGTGATATCAACAAAAAAAACACAACACCAATTTGAACAATAAGCAACAACACCACAATGGCGATTTTAATAATTTTTTTTTTGCCTCTTTGATTTTTTTGTACTCATTTTTTTAAAAAGCCCGTTTATTATTTGTAAAAATATATACAAAGCACATTATTAAAAAATGGATAAACACCAGAGATAAGCATCGATAAATAGATTTCTATACAAGATCATATTCTTCAGTATATTTATGACCTTGAACATTTTTACAAAATATTTGGTTACACTCGAGTGTTCACAGACTCTATTGTGACTTTATAGTATACTGAAAGTGAGAGCATATGTTTTCAAAGTTAGAATATCTATCTCGCTATGTCAGTTATGATTATCGTTTAGTTTGCATCTTTTTATTTCACTAATAACATTTGTCTAAATTAAGAAACACCAATAAAAGTAGAAAAGAAAACCTGGAAATTATCAGTTGAACGTCACAAAGTCGTCGAGTTTCACAACCAACACAAACATTGATAATTATAGGATTTACACATTTTGAACTAATGATTTGATTAGTAGCTAATTTTCTACTTGTTTGTTTTTCTGATGCATAATAATTGGATAACGAATACCGTTCTTAATAATATAACCTCTTATTGGTGCTTTACTTCTTGGTCGTTTTGTAGTTGCCGGTTTAACTCTCACTGGATTGGGTTTAACAATGGCGCTACGAATATTAGTTGGTATTGGATTGTTATCACCATAATAATCGACGTTTACATTTTCAGATGTATAACCGGTTCCCACTTCGGCACCAGTCGGTGCATAACCATTAATTCCTCCATTTTGACCTTATAGTTAGAAAATGAAAAACATCGTGGGAAAAGATGTCTCACACTCGACCTTATTTCTCAGTTCGAGTCTGAAATATTCTCAGTTTTAAAGTAGAGATATATTTTAACCTAGAACATCGTGCTTCAGAGGCATATGCAGAATAGCCTTAGGTATATTAAACTATAATTGCTGACTCACCACCATTTTGTCCATTTTGTCCACCTTGTCCGTTTTGCCCACCTTGTCCGTTTTGTCCACCTTGTCCATTTTGTCCACCTTGTCCATTTTGTCCACCCTGTCCATTTTGTCCACCTTGTCCATATTGTCCATTTTGTCCACCCTGTCCGTTTTGACCATTTTGTCCAAATTGGTGTTGTGTTTTTTTTGTTGATATCACTCTGTTTCGCCATTATAAAATAGTTGACTCGTTAAATAATTTTTTTTTTCACTACGTCGAT